ACCTATCACTGTTGCTGGCGTGGGAGGCCTATCTTCGGACCCTTCACGGCGGACCACAACTGACCCGCAGCGTGTTGGCGCGCCGCTACTGGATTGTCCACGCCAACTCATTGATTCGAGCGATCATTCATCGCTGCATGCGGTGTACGCGGTGTACGCGATTCAGAAAGGACACCGCCCAGCAACAGATGGGCCAGCTTCCGGCCGACCGGGTGCGGGCCAATCAGCCGTTCCGCTGCGCAGGTGTGGACTACGCGGGGCCGATATCTCTGCGCACGTCTAAGGGCCGTGGCCGCAAAGCTTACAAGGGCTATATTTGTTTATTTGTTTGTATGGCCACGAGAGCCGTACACTTAGAGGCTGTTTCAGATCTCTCCACCTCCGCCTTTCTCGCAGCCTTCAGGCGGTTCACGGCCAGAAGGGGTCGCTGTTCGAGACTGATAAGCGACAACGGGACAAACTTTTATCTCCCCTTTAACCCCGTATTTTAGAGGGCTGTGGGAGACGGGAGTTAAGTCCACCAAACACCATCTTCGGCACATCCTGAGCGAACACACGCTGACATATGAGGAGCTTTCGACCCTCCTCTGTTAGATCGAGACGTGCCTGAACTCCAGGCCGCTATATCCGCTTAGTGCAGACTCGGCGGACTTAGCGGCACTGACGCCCGGTCACTTCCTGATCGGGGAAGCCCCAATCGCTGTGCCAGAACCTTACACTCTAAATGACCCTCCGGGTGAGCTTCTACTTCGTTGGCGATTAGTCACTAACATGCGTGACATTTTTGCCACAGGTGATCCAGAGAGTACCTGTAGCACCTGCAACAATTGGGGAAATGGCGACTGCGCAAGGATGACCTTCAACCTGGCACTCTCGTCCTACTGAAAAACGAACTGCAGCCTCCGGCCAAGTGGGCTCTCGGACGCATACACGAAGCCCGGCCCGGACCAGATGGGATGGTACGCGTGGTGGAGGTCGACACCGCTTCTATTCACTCGCCTCACCCGGTCCATCACAAAGATTTGCCCGCTGCCGATCCCTCTGCATCATGAGGGTGCAGCCACACCATAATCACCGAGCGCTACTTATTTCGTCCCTTGGACGAGGTGGGCGGGATATTCGGGCGCAAGCCGGCCGTCAAAGATCTGAGTCGACAACCGAGCGATCACTCTCGACTCTTCAACGCACTGACAAGCAGTTTTCCCGCGCGACGGATAACACAGCTCTAACGCTGTTTTTTGACCTTGCCAGGACCCTTTCTTGTGCCTACGGGTGGATCGAGGAGCTCGGGGCACGGGAAGGAGTATGGCACCACATTCCGATCCGCGGAACTTAAGCAGTCGAGAGCCAGACGCGAGACAAGCAAGCGATTCTGTTACGCGATAAATGAAGACGATCGATACCACTAACTGTTCGCGGTAATATAATATAATTAACTATCTGTGATATGTGTGTGAGACGAAATAAAACCAAGTGATTGTCAACAAAGTGATTCGTGCTCTGTCTGCCCGCTACTCCAACCTCCCTCAGTCGACCTCTCCCCAACGCCGCACAGGCGGTCGGAGAGTCGATAACATTTTTTAATATATATATATATATATATATATTTCAATTAATTAATAAAAGGCTCGTATAAATTAACAAAATTAAACAAATCAAATATAGTAGGCCAACTGAACGAGCAAATAAATAAGGTGTAAAAATTTATTAATAGTTAAATAATTAAATTAACATTCCGTTACAGAAACGATATAAATTGTAAACGTTTTGACTGCACTACAGTCTTTATCAATACATAAAAGTTAAATATTAAAATACAAAGTTAAATGTTAAAAATACAAAGTTAGTTAAATATTAAAATATAAAATTAAAACGATTCTTCGCTGTTGACCAATAGATATGCAAGGCGATTGGTCTGAGATGCCAAGTTATGCGACATTTAAACATGCTGCGGATATAATACGCGAATTAACTCAATGTCAGAGAAAATTAAAAATCTTTCAACTTACATTATCGTTTTAACAAGTCCTTTTTCCCGATATTTCAAGTGTGTGTTGCGAAGTCTGAATAACAAATGTCAAAATAGAGAGCGTGATGTATTTATTTATTACCAATGTTTTTTCTAAATTATGATTCAGCAAATTTTATAAGTATGTCAAAATAACTACTGTCTAACAATTCGGTGTCTTTATTTAAATTAATTCCATTTTTCTGTTCTTTAATGTGGATCATTTCAGATATTAGTCTTTTATGGTAATTCTTTTCATGATCCATAATTTTAATATTGTCCCAGTCAAATGTATGTTGTTCGTTTAGAATGTGTTCCGTGACAACCGAATGTCTAGCAGAGTCTAATTTATATTATTTTTATGTTCTTTAAGTCTCGTTCCTAACTGTCTTTTTGTCTGTCCGACCTCATAAAAGTTCAAAAGGACAGAAATAATTGCCCCACGAATTCTAACGTTATTTATAAATTGAATTGCAACGATTGTGACGCCACATATGTCGGACAGACACAAAAAGACAGTTAGGAACGAGACTTAAAGAACATAAAAATAATATTAAATTAGACTCTGCTAGACATTCGGTTGTCACGGAACACATTCTAAACGAACAACATACATTTGACTGGGACAATATTAAAATTATGGATCATGAAAAGAATTACCATAAAAGACTAATATCTGAAATGATCCACATTAAAGAACAGAAAAATGGAATTAATTTAAATAAAGACACCGAATTGTTAGACAGTAGTTATTTTGACATACTTATAAAATTTGCTGAATCATAATTTAGAAAAAACATTGGTAATAAATAAATACATCACGCTCTCTATTTTGACATTTGTTATTCAGACTTCGCAACACACACTTGAAATATCGGGAAAAAGGACGTTAAAACGATAATGTAAGTTGAAAGATTTTTTAATTTTCTCTGACATTGATTTAATTCGCGTATTATATCCGCAGCATGTTTAAATGTCGCATAACTTGGCATCTCAGACCAATCGCCTTGCATATCTATTGGTCAACAGCGAAGAATCGTTTTAATTTTATATTTTAATATTTAACTAACTTTGTATTTTTAACATTTAACTTTGTATTTTAATATTTAACTTTTATGTATTGATAAAGACTGTAGTGCAGTCGAAACGTTTACAATTTATATCGTTTCTGTAACGGAATGTTAATTTAATTATTTAACTATTAATAAATTTTTACACCTTATTTATTTGCTCGTTCAGTTGGCCTACTATATTTGATTTGTTTAATTTTTATATATATTTCTTTATATATATATATATATATATATAGTCCTACTGTAACACGATACACGAAGATTTTTTGAACATGATTCGTAGACAGTCATCGTTCGCTTCTCCTTCCGCTTTGCGGTGCGCCATGTATCGTGTTACAGTAGAACGTCTCTTCTCGTCGCGCGCTTCTATTCGCGTGGATTGGCCGATCTTTCTTATTTAATAATTCAATAATTATTGCAAAAATCGCAAAACGGTAGAGGACTTTCCTATTCGATTTAACTCATTTTACCAGCACACGATGGTTGAAGCGACAATTGCCGGACACCCTGTATATATACAATATTTTAAGGGTCGATAGGTCGTCCGGCCAGACTCCGTGTAGCGATCCCCTCATTGGACGAGCTACAACAGCGCCACGCAGCGACACCAACATCCGGCGCCAGCGGAAAGTTCCAGCTGTAAAGATGACTCGAATTTTTAGATTTTTGAAATCTAACAGTTAGATTCTTGCGAACGTTCGGAGTGACAATATAATAACAGTATATAATAACAGTAGATAGTTGATTTCAAACATTAACGAGCATTACGTTGTATAAAGTCGTTCAATCGCGAGATGCTTGATTAAAACTATCAAGATAGAGACAAAAATTCCAATTTGTTAGAAACTGTAAATAGTGTATATGTTTTGCGATTATTTCAATTATATTAAGTGTTAGTAGATAAATAAGTTGTACAGTGATTTCATCCGGTTCCTCCTTCACTCCTTATCTCCCTTACTCCTTACTCCTTTATAGGGGCAATACCCTATATCCGAATTGATGTTGGAGACCTCGCACGGTGACAACGCGAAACTCCGATTTCAGTGTTGCCAACGCCGAGAAACCAATTCTCGGGTTTTATGTAGTGGTGCATGTCTGTACACGTACATACACCATTGCATTGCTCACGCGGACGCACCGTAGAGAGACAAGGACCGATAATCACGTGTTCTCCTTGTTCCTCTACCGTGCCGGTATACGCGAGATGCGGCCTGAAAATGCTTTAGGGTGTGTTCCGTTATGCACTGCAAGTACTGACAGTACTACCAATAGCGTTCCGATATAGATAGCAGTGCACTGCGAAAGTACTATCATGAGTATATGACGTCATTAATTTTGACGTTATTTCCTGTTGCGATTACTGCAACCGGCGAGGTAAAGCACTCGCAGTAATCAAGATGGCTACCTCCATGTGTACGATGGAACTAACTTTTAAATTCCATATCTGAATACAATGATACAATATTTTTAACGTAATTTTTACATTTTATTCTAGGTATTTTAATTTGTCGTCTCATTTCATTTATTAATTCCATTTCCAAATCGCTTTCACTTGATGACTCACTCGAATCATATATATTCTCGATTAAATTATATGTAATTAATGCAATAATGGTATTATCCATTTCACCAATTTTTCACTCGATGATTATTAGCGAAAAAGGTTAGTTAAAAGTCTGCTGAAAGCGTACTGTAGTGCGTTCCGTTTTACTATTTTGCAGTAGCTTCAAAGTGCACAAAATTAAAAAGGAACGCTGTCAACAGTACACTTGCATGACGTCATAGTGCCAGTACTTGCAGTGCATAACGGAACGCACCCTTAGCCTTCCGTAGCAGAAGGCAGTAGCGTAGCAAGGCTAATAAGTACCTACTTTTTGTAAATTTTATATATGCTTATGCAATGTGAATTTTGGTAAGAGATACATTATTTTTACTTGTGCGATGTATTCTATCATTTTTTTTCGTAACAGAGTTGTAAGTATATCGGTCTCGTGTAACGTGAAACTTTCGATCATTACTTTTGTCTTTTTCGATCGAACGTGTATCGTTATTTATTTATTTTCGGCCTTATATTTAATCTTTCGGACGTATCACGCGAATACGGTTATAAATCGTGCTTTGATATCATCTCTAAAACAAGCAGACTTTGTCCAACAAATATCGATCGTATCTATGTCACCGCAAACAGTTTCGAAAACAACAAAAATTCATATTGTATTTCGCGTCTCGTCTATCAGCTGATCGTCTAAAATGTATAAAGTCGCGTCGAACTTTGCTGTTCATGTCATCGTAAGTAATATTTCTCGTTAATTCCCGTTAAAAGTATCGATGAATATATACTATAGGATATGTTACGTATCCTATAGAAACTTGCTAGGAAAATAAGTAATAAATATTATTGAAATTAATTATGTGAATGTATATATTTTTAAATATATTAGTACAGTATGTCCTAAAAGTTGCGCAATAAGCATTATGTATATGTATAATGTATGTATATATATAGTGTATAATGTCGTCGTTACAATACAAGTAAAAATGTTCTCTGAAATTTTTTCATTAAATCATTAATTATAGCGCATTTAATAAATGCATCATTAATTATAGCATGCATCAAATTAATTATAGCGCATTTAATATAAATGCATTTATTAAATGCGCTATAATTAATGATTGGATGAAAAAATGATAATTTTTTTACTCGGATTATAACGACTAACTGAAGGTCGATTGTGTAATTTTTTCTAAAGTGAAAATGTGAAAAGTGAAAAATTTCTTCCAATCACACATCGATTTCATTTTAAAATCAATGCGTGATTGGTGGAAATTTTTCACTTTTCACGTTTTCACTTTAGAAAAAGTTACACAATCGACCCCCTGTATGCATATACATATCAATTATATAATTTTTAGGACATCCTGTGTAATATTCCCTAATCTATTCTTGCTGCGATTCCGCCGTGACGTTATGACGACAAGTCGTACACGATTTCTGCCATGTTCTGCCGTCAATAGTTGTTTTGACAAGTATGTTCTATTCTTGCTGTATTTATGTCATCGCATTGTGATAGCAAAACATATTCCATTTCTAATACATTTTACCATCAATAACTGATATAGCAGCTCTTGCTTGATATTTACTATATTTTTACCGCGACACGGTATAATGGACAGTCATGCTTAATTTTTATTGCATTTATGCCTTTATACTATGTCAACAGCTTATGCTGATAGGAGGTAAGCAATTGCGGAAACAGTGGATAGGAATCTGCTGTAAACTCATGATTGGATCTGGGCTATAATACTGTCGACATATTGCTGACATTTGGCTATCTGGGTACATTTTATTATATCTTGTTTATCTCAGTATACTTTTTATTTGTTAAACCTTCTTAAATCCATTTTTCAGTCTAAAATTCCCGAGGTCATGAACGAAATTTTTAAACGAAAAAAGATTCGAGGAAGAAGTAGACTCCAGAATTGAGATCATTTGCTTTAACATTGAATTTTTATTCCGCGAAAGCCTACAATTATGTGCGTAAAAAGTTCCGAAATTTGCTTCCAAATCCTTCAACGATTCGTTATTGGTATATTCTATGTTAAACGGCCGACCAGGATTTACAAGCGAAATTATAGATGCGTTAAAATGTAAAATTCGTAAGACGAAAACTCTCTTTTATTGTAATTTAGCATTAAATGGCCACTGGAAAATTCCACTAGGTTATTTCTTGATTGATTCATTAAATGGAAAAGAGAGAGAGCCAGTTTGTTGCAAAAATCTTCATGAAAGAAATTATTCATGATACTGGAGTGATATTGCATTCGTTAACCTAAGGGAGCTAGTATCAATTTTAGCATGTGCACTAATTTGGGAGCCAATTTTAACTTAGGAGAAAATTTTAAACCTTACATTTTTAATCCTATAACAAAAGAAAAAATTTTTTGTGCAACCGGCGCGCGAAAAGTCGCCCTTTACGCACATGATGGAATTTTAGAAAGAGTTCCCTTTCCACACACCGGTCACACAAAATATCGTAACCAACATGTGAGGGTCATAAATTGGCCGATCGTGCGGATTGTCACACTCAGCTTCACCTCGTGCACCAAACTTCCGCACTCTCGGCCGATTTACGATCCTCCGCACTTGTTAGCTAATAATACTATTGTTTCTTGGATCCTTACCACGCATTAAAATTAGTTAGGAATACTCTGGGAGACAAATTAATACAAATATTACGGTATAATGCCACGGTAAAGCTGCCATAAAATTAACAAAAAAAAACATATTATGTATAAAAATAGTAAAATGAATGTAAAACTAGCTGCACAAACACTTTTAGTAAAAGTCTTTGTGTAGCTTTGAAATTTGCGAATCAATATGTTTCCCAAATGAATTTAATCCGAAGAGACTACTATATTTTGCTCAATGTTCAATGATGCCTTTGATATATATTAAATGATGAAATATGGCTTTAAATAATGAAAATTTTGATGATTTAAAAAATCATGCAATTAGTATAATTGAATATATCCAACAGTTAAAGGGTATCATTAATCAATCAATTTTGTTAAGTAACAGAAAAACTGGCTTTCTTAGTTTCATCATCTGTTTGATAAATATGTTTGACCTGTTCAATATCTTAAAAGAAAAAGGACTTACATATTTGTTAACATATAAACTCAGTCAAGATCACCTCGAAACATTTTTTAGTGCATTACATAGTAGAAGAGGATTTAATAATAATCCCAATGCAAAACAATTTGAAACCGCTTATAAAAGATTGTTTGTTAGGCACAAAATTGAAGCGTCAGAGAAAGGTAATTGTCTTATTAATGATGTGCAGATTTTGTATGTATCATCGAAAAAGAAAAGTAATATTAATGACGGTTTGTTTTCGAAACGGATGATATAAATTTATCTGTGCTAATGCATTTGATTATAACTATTTATCAACATTAAGGGAACTTAGTTCATATGTTGATAATGTAGTAAAATATATTAGTAGATTTGTAGTTAAAAAATTATTAGGAAAAATTTGTCATATCTGTGCAATTTTTGTAACTTTAATATCAACTGATTCATCATTAATTAATTTAAAAAACAGAAATAATTTAATTTTCCCTTCAAAAGACATTATTAAAATAACACAATTTTGTGAAAAAGTTATGAGGGCAAATAGTCACATTATTCGTACTAAAAATAATATTGTATAAGTGGTGGGGGCCATTAAAATTTGTTGTACGTTTTTTCTTTTTATCTCTTATAATTTAACAGATATTCGATCCTAAAGAAAAATACCGTCATTCTTTAAAGGGGTGTTTCACTCCTTAAAACTCAAAATGCGCACATATAAAAAAATACGTGTCTTTTAGATTTGTGTATTTAACAACATATTTAAAAGAGAATCAAATCGGTTCCGAACAGCTGTGACATGTCCCTTGTAAGAAAGCATTAAAAACATGTTTAAACAATTTTTATGTATGTTATTCGTTTGTCTACAAATAGCATTTGAATTTTATCTAATTTTCGGCCGTTCAAACCTTATCATCCCCCTTGGAGATTTATATGAAAATTCCAGTAAAATATAAATGTCAACAGACTTGTATGTAGGCTTCGGAAGACTCTATATGGACTTAAAGCATCAAGAACTTGGAACAAAACTTTTGATAATTTTGTTAAAAGTCATGGTTTACGAAACTCGGAAACAGACAAGTGTCTGTATATAAAAGAGGAAATCATAAACTTTTTTACTGCTCTATGTTGATGATATAATTACGGGAAATGATTTGAAGAAAATTCAAAAAATTAAGTCAGTTTTAAGCAGATTTCATATGAAAAACCATGAATTATATTCATTCTTGAAAATCAATATCGAAAGAACAAATGATAAAAAAAAATTGTTTATAAATCAAGCATTGTATGCTCAAAAACTTCTAAAGCGTTTTGGCGAATGTAAATCTGCAAAAATTCCAATAGAAATAAAATTAATTGAAGATGGACGCAAAAATTATTGATATTTCAAAACCGTACCGAGAGCTTATTGGATGTCTTATGTATATTTTATGATAACTACAAGACCGGATTTGAGTATTGCAGTTAATTATTTCAGTAGATTTCAAAGTAATGCAACAGAAGCTCCTTGGAAATGATTGAAAAGAATTCTTCGAGATACAATTAAACTTGGTTTACTCTACAGTAAAAACAAGGAAGCACTGGTTGCCTATTCTGATTCTAATTGAGAAGGAAGTTTCGATCGAAAATCTACAACTGGATATCTATGTTAAGTTTTTTGTAATATTGTTTGCTGGTCAACGAGAAAGCAATCGACGGTGGCTTTATCATCTACGGAAGCAGAATATGTTGCACTAGTGATGATGACTGCAGAACTATTGTGGATAAAGAATCTGCCGATAGATTTGGGAGTAAGCTGTGAAAAACCAATAAAAATTTATGAAGATAATCAGTCGACTATTCATCTTCTACTATTGATGGAGAAACATAAGTGTTTGAAACACATTGCTATTAAATACAATTTTATTCGTGATTTAAAAGTAAAAAATGTTATTAATGTAATTTATTAGTTTTAATTTGTAGCCAAATTAACTCTTGTAACAATTTCTTTTTTTCTTTGTTTATGATTTTTTCTGCTGCAATGCAGTTTTTGATTGTAAATTGATTATATTAAAATATATAATTGATTAATATCTACTCAAGAAAAGTATTCCTTTCTGCGCTTTAGTCAACAAAAAATAAGCGAAAGTAAAATTCCATTAAACAATGTAAATTTTTTAGAAAATCCATTTATCAGCAATTTTTGTTACAATTTGTTACAATTATCTTATTGTTAGTCAATTATTCTTTACATTGAACACAATAATTTGTCATAATCGAAATATACAAAATCCAGAAAGAACTTTGCTTCCCATCAATATCAATTATGCATCTTTTAATTTATTATAAACTAGACTATCTCACGTCTCAAGGTATTCCATTTTTTTATTCTCCAATTTCAAATTACTTCAATATAAATCACTATATATGTAAAATGTAATAATATATCCATCTTTTAAATACTCTAAGTTTCAAACATTTTGAATTTTATGCGTTTTAACTCAGAATAATAAAAAAGAGTAATATATAATAAAATTGGAATTATTTTGTAAAGTTTATTATATAAAAAAAATATTTCGTTATTTGCTTGTAGATCTTTTATAAATTGCTATTATAGACTAAAATCGAAATCTATATAATATTACTTATACCACATATTAATTTAATATCAAGAAAAAAAAGAAAAGGAATTGCTACAAATAATATCGGTTTATGTTATTAAAATTCATAGAAATTTGGGAATTAAAAAACTCTGAAATGTTAAATCTCTAATAATAAATTTAAATTTCTACAAAGTTTGTAAAAAAATTAATTTTTTATAATTAATACATTTATCACTAAGGCGTAAGAAACACACAACTTTTTTCAATTATTTCTAATAGTCTCCAGTTCTTTTTCTCGCAATGTACATATAACCAATAAAATTATAGTTACATTCATCATATATTCAATAGCATGCAATATGATGTAAAAAATTGTAGAATTCAGAATTTCATTAAAAGTTTGTTTTCTTTCTTCTCGAAAATCAGAAATGCGAAAATGACTCCATCGATTTTCTTCAATCTTCTCCAGCTTCGTTCCATTAAATCAGAGAATTCTTTCGTAGAATAAGAGATATGCTTGACTTTGCAGCACTGTACTCTCATCTACTTCCGATACCCTGTGATAAAAAGATGAAAGAAGATTAATACTGAAGAAAATTATAATAAAATAAAGGTTCCTTAAGGTTCCTCGCTTCTCATCAACCATGTTGTTGTAACGTCAGAGAAAACACGTTAAAAAGATCTTCAATGCCATTTCGAAATATAAAGATATTTCGATGAAATAGCACTTCAGATGGCTTTAGGATACTCTCGGTTGTCGATTGGCAACGGAAAAAATTTTTTGAGGTATTTTAAAAGTGTGCTAAAACTATCTGAAATAGTGTTTCATCAAATATTTTTTTATTTAAAAATAGCATCTAAGAATTTTCAGCGTGCTTTCTCACCTCTGACGTCATAATTTAACATAGCAAGAACCCAGGAGTCTTAATAAGCACAACTGAACTCCCAAAGATGACTGTTTGATGATGGAATGTTTGTATGTTAATTCTAATTTTTTTGTATAAACTATATTGATTTTAGAATTCTAAATTCGTATTGTAGAAGTCTATACTTTCAAGATTATAGATATTTTTGGGAAAAATACCTATATTGATACTTTTAAACTTTTGATATAACAGCACAAGGATCTTACCGAGAATCTGATACAAAATACCATCTTCCAGGTGGTGGTTCTACAACAGACGCGGCTTTCGCCGATGTTTCCTCTACTTCCGAATCTGAATTGGTACTATCCGATTTATCATCCGGCTTAGGATTCTTATCCTTAGGAAGAAAATTCCATCGGAGATCATCTGGTGGTAATGGCAGTCTTGTCTATTCATACAAAAACAATTCAAATAATTTCGAAATCAATAGATTTTTTAAAATTTTTAGTAAGTTATATATATCAGTTAAAAATTATATTTTTAATATCTTTTATTTTTAATTTGTCTTAACTATCTTAATCTTATAGATATTTTTCTTTCTATTAATCCTTCTATTAATAATTTATTTTGTTTGATGTTGCTTAATTTAACTAGAATTTACTAAATATATTAGTTCTATTCTCCGCCCCCCGTCCTCCAACTGATGCAAAAAATGGGCATAAAAGAACACGATTATGAACATAAGAAAATAATTGGATAGCAATGATATTGTGGGATCCGCGAAAAAGAATCGGGCCTTCGGGTGACTAGACCGGGACTCGAACCCGGAACCTTCCGCTTGCCGGGCGACTGCTCTAACCATTAAGCTACCTAGGCCCTCTGCCTAAACTTCTCGCATCACCCACTTACGCGTTATGGAGGAGTCCCGATACTACACTCGGCCGTCCTGAATTGACATTCGCCCTCGAATGTCGCCACGCGCTAGTGCCACTGGGCTCTTGGGCCTCTTTCCCACCCCCAGCCGACACCCGCAAACCATCTCTAACATCGTTTTGCCTCGTGCAGACCGAATCCTGCCTCCATCCCGGACGAGCCCCCAAATGTGGGATCCGCGAAAAAGAATCGGGCCTTCGGGTGACTAGACCGGGACTCGAACCCGGAACCTTCCGCTTGCCGGGCGACTGCTCTAACCATTAAGCTACCTAGGCCCTCTGCCTAAACTTCTCGCATCACCCACTTACGCGTTATGGAGGAGTCCCGATACTACAATATGTATAGCTTTTCCCTGAAAGTAGAAAAAAGTAGTAAAAAATTGCACAAATTCGGCTCTTATATTAATAATCTTTTGCAAACTCTTGGTACAATACTTTCATAAGGTCAAATTTTAAAAAATTAATAATTTTCAAAGATTATTACAGAGAAATAATTAAAATAAAAAAAATATCTCTTCAAGCATATCTTAGATGTGATTAAAAGATGACGACAGAGGACTAACTTTTCAATGAACTCACTAAAGATTGAACTCGTGATATTCACACATAAGTACAAAGTGATACCACTAACAGAGCTTATTTTAAAAGGCTAAAGTCAGTTCGTTAAAATATCTGAGAGCTGTTTTTGACAATGATTGATCAAAAGGAAAATTTGAAAAATCTACATAAGAATATCTGCACATATTTTTTAGATACGCAGAAGAACTTTTGGGCAGACCTGAAGTTCGAAATCAAAAAGAGTTCGTCGATTACACATAATTCATATAATAGACTACTATTCTTTGCGCTAGTAATAGATTACATACTAGACTGACGCTTATTTTGGACTTGAACGAATTTTTTTGCTCTCAATTGTTCAATCCATTTCAAATGTCTGGAAAAAGATATTCTCGCAACACGAGTTCTGTAGCTCAATATTAAAAGGTGCTACCGACCATCGATTTATTTATATTTAAAAATAACATGGGGTTTTTAAGTAATTTTTTTAGCTGTAATTTTTTCGATGTAAAAAGATTATAATTTTTGGTCAGTTTTATTTTTAATCGCGTCAAATATGTTATTGGAATTTTAATCTAATTTTTGCTGAAAGTACGTCAAATGCATAAGTGATTAGCACAAGATTCAAATTTTTACAATTTTTATTACATCTCAAAAAAAGTACAGCTAAAAGTTACTGAATAAACCCATGTTATTTAAATATAAATAAATCGATGGTCAATGACACCCTTTAATACTAAGCTACAGAGCTCGCGTTGTGAGGATATCTCTTTTCAGCCATTTGGAATGGATTGGACAACTGGGAGCGAAAGAATTCATTCAAGTTCAAAATAAACGCCGATCTACTACATACTTATAGGTTATTATACTTTGCGCTAGTGTTGGCCTAGACAATTAGGCCTTAAAACTGCATTAAAGTAGATCAGAACTCTTATATTAAGAGATGCAAATGCGGATCATATTGATAATACGAAGTAGGGATGCAATCCGGTATTGAACGTTCCATTATGTAGTGTAAAATAGCTGTGGTTATATTATCTTTCGAAAAAAGTGGACAATCCAAATGTGGAAATCTTATCTAATCTTGGCCCTTTAAATGGTCCAGGACAAAATATCAACGATAGTTATACTTAAGAAGACAGATAAACTCATCTGAAATTGCTTAGAGAATCAGAAATTGCTTAGACAAATGTCTAAATAATGGTCATACTTAGGTGGACAGGTAAACCCATCCGAAATTGCTAAGACAGTTTCAAAGATTTTCAGAATTCTTCACGTTTCATTCATTGCCTCATGACTGGTCTAGAAATTACAAACGTCCTCAATGACGTTGGTCTTCGATTAATTGGAAATCAAGGGCAAAAAGGCAGATCAACTTGTTAAGGCTGATTCAATGTCAAAGATATTGGAACCGGAGTTGATTCTTGAGGGATGTTCTATTGTTTGATGATTCGCTCGGCAAGAACCTAAACAAAAGCAAGATTGGTTGATAGAAAAGATGTCAGAATAGCAGTACAGTTATTCACAGGACATGAAAATATGACATGGCATAAAATTGTTATAGCTTCTCTCTTAAGTTAACAGTAGTAATTATTTATTATTCCATTTTGTAACACGTTTAAAAAAGTAATAATTAATGAATTTATCAAAAATCACTCTATCTGTAAATAAATTGATATCGCTGTCTTGTGTCTCTTCGTAAAGTTGAGTAATGTTTTTGTACGAAACATCTTTTTGTAAAAGACGTAGGAAAAAAGATATTTAGGATGGAACATTAAATGGCCTAACTTTTAGATGATAGAAGGAAAAAATTGTTCTTTATAAAATGTTCATACAAAGTGTCCCATAGAAAATTGTTGAAACTAATCAGCTGTCATTTTTTAATGCTTGCAGTTATTGAGAAAACAAAAATTGTATTGAAAAAAGGAAAGTCTACAGTTTTTAATGGATATAAATAAAATGTTTGTATACTAGTTTATTTTATTGAAAAAAGTGCTAATAATCACATATGTAAGCTAATGATAAATATTTTTTAAAAAGTATGTACTATTTGAATTTGTACAAAATTCTGTTCTTTTACGAAAACTCGTACAGACTTTTTCTAACATGTCATTTTTAATGTTATTGACGATCCTTTTAATAGTGGCTATTAAATCTGGTACTGTTAAAAATATTTATCATTAGTTTATGTGATTTTATGTGATTATTAGCACTTTTTCATTATTTTTTATCAATAAAATAAACTGGTATACAAACATTTTATTTATATCCATTAAAAACTGCAGACTTTTATCTTTCCAACACAATTTTTGTTTTCACAATAACTGCATGCATTAAGAAATGTCAGGTAATTAATGTCAGCAATTTCCTATGGGACACCTTGTACATAATATCTCCGTAATCTGATAAGGAAATCTTACATATATAATTATAATAACAGTCACTAGTATTTAAATAGAAATTGTAAAAATAATCGACCAAATTAGCGAGTAAATAATTTATTGAGCTTTACGACGTTTCGATCATGTGATTGTGGTCCTTTTCAAGTGAAACAAAATGAATGAAGTTAATGTTAAAACATCATTATACAATAGTTGTCAGTATTATTTTTTGAAATTATACAAGTCAATCAATTGAAAAATGCGAAACATTAAATATTATAACTCGGCGAAAAGTCGTCAAATTCTAATATGTATAGATATATAGTATTATAATATGATAAAATGAATTAAGTTAAAATTAAAACATTATTATACAATAGTTGTCAGTAACATTTTTTTGAAATTATAGAAGTCAATCAATTGAAAAATGCGAAACATTAAACATCATAACCCGGTAAAGGATTGTCAGATTCTAATATGTATACATATTATAATACTATATGTGTATATTAGAATTTGACGATTCTTCGTCGGGTTATGATGTTTAAGCGGAGAGCACACACTTTTGCATAAGCGCATAAGCATATGCATAGGAAATTCGATTGGTTGAATTTCTTATGCATATATTTATAGACCAATCAAGATTCTTATGCTTACGCTTATGCGCCTATGCAAAAGTGTGCTCCCCGCTTTAATGTTTCGCATTTTTCAATTGATTGACTTGTATAATTTCAAAAAATATTACTGACAACTATTGTATAATGATGTTTTAACTTTAACTTAATTCATTTTGTTTCACTTGAAAAGGACCACAATCACATGGTCGAAACGTCGTAAAGCTAAATAAATTATTTACTCGCTAATTTGGTCAATTATTTTTTACAACTCATAATTATTAAAATTGTTACCTTATGTGAATTTGTTTACTTTTTACATTTTTCTGCCCAATTAAAAAAAAGTTACATAATAATTGCCCAAAGTGTGATAGTATGTTAGATTGAACTGTGCCAGATTAAGACTGTATTCAGATTGTATGAAACTTGTACAATTGGAACATAAATGTCAGCTAAATTGTCTTTACTCAGTATGAAGATTCCTGGCTCCTGGGCGACTATGTTGGAATTGTGACGTCAGAAACGAGAAAACACGCACCAAAAATTCTTAGATGTCGATCATTTTATGATTGTTTATTGACTGTCAAAGGAAAATAATAGTTTCAGATATATTTTAAAAGTGTGCTAAAGCCATCTGAAATAGTGTTTCATGGAAATATCTTTTTATTTCAAAATGTTATCTAAAAATTCTCCGTGTACGCTTTCTCGCCTCTAACATCACAATCAAACATTGTCACGACGAGAATCCAGGAGCTAAAATTATTTTCGTTTTTCATGCAACTGCAAACTATCTTTTCTAGCAAGCTTTTAATGCAAAAAAAATTAGTTTTGTACGACTGTATAGATGAATAAATTGAAAATTAGTACGATTGTATAGATGAATAAATTGAATGCATGCAATTGATTTTTTTTATTTATTATATTATTTGCCAATAAAAGATATGCTAGCAAAAAAATATTATGTAAAATAGTAATAATTCGATATTAGTTTTACTATTAATGATTAAACTTTAAAAATATCATATCTTATTATTTAATATCAATAAAATCTGAAAACATATCTGCTATTTTAAAAAAAAGTTTTAAATTGTATAAGCCAAAAAAATAATCTACCTTGACATAAGCAACGTAGTGACCACCATGAACGGTACCACTGTGCTCGACGACCCCATAAAGCGCATAAAGTCGAGGTTTTTTTTGATTCGTGCAAACCGGTGCCAAGTTCAATAACATCGGAAATGAAACATGCTTGAAAACCTTCCGAAAGCCAACTCTCTGCGTTTGAAACCTCTTCAGATGCAATATCAACACTGGAGGTACTTGAGAGATGAGATATTGCTTGGTATTCGAAGTGCATACCATCTTGGTCAAGTTCTCCTGATTCTGAAAACATGATAATAGTACAGAGTGTATACTCAAATCTTAGAAATAAATTCTCTGAAGATTCCATGATTTTCCAGGTACTTTTGTTCAAAATTTCAGGTAAAATTAAAGTATTTTAAATAATATTTAGAATACAATTTTGAGATAAGTTTATATTGATCTATATAATTTTTTAACATAAATAAAGTATTTTTTTAATATAATGTAATATAGTCTTATATTATAATAAAATTTATTTTAATATATACTTTACATAAAACTAATTATATTCTTGAAAACTATATTTTAAAATTTAAAAAGGGGCAATTTTAAAAAAAAATCCCTGAATTCAAATCCATGATAATTTCAGGATTTTTTAACATAGAACAAAATTCCAGGTTTTCCAGATTTTAAAATAAGTAATAAATTAAAAGGCCAACTTAACGAGCTAATTAATTAGGTGTTAAAAATTTTTTATTCTACGTCATGAAAATAATACAAATGATAATTAGTAAACGTTTCAACTGTACGACAGTCTTTATCAATACAAATTTACTAATTATCTTTTGTATTTACTAATTATCATTTTTATTATTTTCATGACGTAGAATAAAAAATTTTTAACACCTAATTAATTAGCTCGTTAAGTTGGCCTTTTAATTTATTACTTATTTTAATTTTACACGAGCCGAAATTTATTTTTCATTATATATATTTCCAGATTTTTTCAGGGAGTATACATCCTGTAGTACTTCTTTTGTTTCATAATTTGTTTTATAATAATTTTATTAATTTACAATTTTTTGATTATAATATTAGACTAGAGAGGTTTTAAAAATTTTCAATGTTAAGTTTAATTTAAAGTACCTTCTTTTGGCGAGCTGTGCACGCTTCGCACACGACTTTGTTGCTTCCCGTCATTAATTCTAATGCAGTAAATTGATTTAAACATGATTCCACAGAACATTCGCCTTCCTTGGTTGTATATCTGCCAGACGATTGATGTTCAGAAATTCCCAATCTAGACATTCCCGTCATTATATCGCCGAGTTCATTATACAAGTCCTGCTCTTCGGGATCATCACCATTAGAAGTTCCGTTATTGTATTTCTTTCTATTGCACTTTGATAGAGTAGTTGCCATCCAAGTTTCGATACCGTCCAATCTAAAGAAATATGCTTATCAATATCATGCTTATGCAGTTCGTTATTCTAAAAAAATTTTTTAGATATTTTTAAATACATAAATATCAGAATTTCTCGTCAAATTACTATGATTTTTAACGGAATTATGAACGATCAAAGTAAAAATGATTATTTTCTTTTAAATTTTCGATAATTTGATAAGGAAAAAGCAAAATTTAAAGAGTGATGGCAAAAAGACCTGTTTTCGCCCATTTTATAGGGTCGAATTTTGGGACCTCAAATTACAAACTTTTTTTATGCCAAATAGTACTATATGATGAGATAGTAATCCCAGAGAAATTTCAAGATGAGCATAGGCACGGTTCCTTAGATATGAAGAAGTGAAAGTGATAATTTTTGTATCTTTAGAACAGTGTCTATGTTCATTTTGAAATTTTACTGAGATTAATGCTTCATCTAATAATATTTGCCATAAAAAAAGTTTGAAATTCGAAGTTCCAAAAATAGGCGAAATTTGTCATCACTCTTTTAAAAAACGATTTTGCAGGGAAAACTTCAGGCTTCAATGCAAAAAAGTCAAATATTAAAAAAATTTTTTTTGTGCGTGCAACACGTCTACAAAGTGAGAAGAAAATTTTTCATTTCGTTGAGTTCATCGTTTTCTGAATAATGTAAAAAATAGATATAAAGAATTGAAGAAAATGAAAAACAACCGTTACTTTTCAAAAGTATAGATTTCAAGTTTTTAAATTCTTTCTCATTTTTTGAAACACAAAGTTACAGCTATTTAAAATTTGCCTATTTCTTGGACAGTTTTTTATCCCTTAATTGCGGTGTTGTGTGTTTAGATGATTTTAAAATGAGCTAAAATAAAGATGAGATAAAAATATGTAAATTCATCTTAGATGAAATTAGATTAGATGAAGATGATTTTATTTTAAATATATCTAGATAAAAAATAAAATTATATGGCGATTAATCTAGATAATTTTCTAGATAAAATTTTTAAGACTGTTTATGTAAACACAATTATAAAAAAATGTAAATTATAAAAGGGATATAAAAATATATGTATTTACATTTTTATTTATAACGTTTTATCGCTTACTGCTAAGTAAGCGCACACGCGCGCACCCACACACACACACATACACGCTCGCACACACACGCGCGCGCGCGCGCGCGCACACACATACAAAAGAAATGTAAATCCGACCGGGCAACCTTCGCGCGGTAGACTTTGAGTAATGCTAACGCCGGCGGTACTGTAACTTTCAAGCTCCATAACTCGAAAACTACTTAAAAAGAGACTTAATTATAATGTTTTGAAAAGCTCTCGAGATAAGCTACAAAAATATAGAATGAAATATAGATGCTTCATTAAAAAATTTCAAGGTCATTTTTATATGACCTTGACAACACTTTTCAAGGTCATACTGATATTGCTATGTATAATCCATTACTTGAAGCCCTACAACTTTTGTCTGAAACATTTTTGTCTGGCGCGCTCAGTTTTCGATATAATCGGCTGATACGGGTGGTCTGAGACACCCTGTATATATGTATGTAAAAATTTGAATTTGAACATCTGACTATACAACCTTTCTGTGTCATTGACAGGACTGGTGGGGCTCTCCTTAGAAGCAACGGAGCTGCTTAAACTTGCAGTGGGCGCTTCGGGGCTTGTGATGTCGGAATTGGGAATCATGGTAGATAATGCCGTGGCCGACGCTTCGTTCTCGGAGCTAACCGATCCGACATTCCCGTCGAGTTTCTCTGACGGCATTCTTATCTGAGTCAAGTCTGTCATCGATACGTCGGTCGGACTAGGACTAGGTAACACGTTAATGTTCACCAGATGTCTAATTTTGGTTGTGTCCGCATTGTTACCCAGATTACCGTCTTCCAGACTGGTCAGAGTGTCAACATCGTTATTGAAGTCGTTGCTTGAATGATGCTGATGATGATCGGTAAGAGATATAGGACTGGTAACAGCGGACGCTTTCTCCGAACTGTATCCGGATTCCCCGATTTCTGGATGAGAATTATCCACTTCGATATTATCCTCCACGTCAGCGTCACTCTCTTCTATAAATTAAAAGTAATATTAAATATTTATAATATTATATAATATTTCATATTTTTTGTACTATAAATTTTGTTTATGAGAAAATTAGTTTAAAAGATTAATTGACATTTTTTTCAAAAACATTTTATATCATTCAAAAAAATGTTTAGCATAAACACCGACGAGGTACTATTAAAGATCGACGGCCTTACGGGAATTTATGTCGCCTACTAAATAGGCCTGTCGGTACGCTGTCGATAACTATTAAATTCCTATATATAAATACTTATATATATATATATATATATATATATATATATATTTAATTATTAATTATGTTAAATATAAACCATATAATTATAATTTACAATATAGTAGAACAAATAAAATGTTCTTATTAGCTTATTGTCATTAGCTATGATTATCGACCGATGTCGGGCCCACTTGGTAGAGCCAGAAATTTACCCAGGGCCGACAGTCTTTAACAGTACCTAGTCAGTGGCATAAATAACTAGTTTTTTTTTTTTTTACTATGACAGAAGTAGAAGATTTAAATGCAATTTTCATATTAATTTTTGTATCAGTTAATATTTGGTATAAGTGTCCATTATAAAAGTCGAAAATTATAATTAAATCCTAATACTAATATATACAAAGCAAATGAAACGTTTTATTAATTAGAATCAAACAAAATTATACCTGACTTCGGAATGTTGTCATTATTTTCTTCCATAGAATTATTTGAATCTTTCAACACATAATTATGATTCTCATTCCTTTTCAGCTTTCGATTTTTCCTGGCTGCCTTCTTTTCTTTTTTTAACTGCTTCCAAGATGTATCCAGAGCTTGATAATCGCGTTGTTGATTGCTTATCGTATCGAAGGTTTCAGCTTCACTGTTTTTTCTTCTGTATATATCAGAGAATTATAATATAGGTATATTATGGTATTAGCTAAATAAAATAAAATAAATTATTATGTACAGAGTGTCCCATAAGAAATTGCTGAAACTAATCAGCTGTCATTTTTTAATGCATGTAGTTATTGAGAAAACAAAAATTGTGTTGAAAAGAGGAAAGTCTACAGTTTTTAATGGATATAAATAAAGTGTTTGTATATCAGTTTATTTTATTGAAAAAAAGTAATGAAAAAAGTGCTGATAATTACATATGTAAACTACTGATAAATCTTTTCAAAATGTGCACCATTTAAATTTGTACAAAATTCTGTTCTCTCACGAAAACTCGTAAAAACTTTTTCAAACATGTCATTTTTAATATTATCAACGATCCTTTTAATAGCTGCTATTAAATCTAGCACCATTAAAAATATTTATCATTAATTTGTGATTTATCATTAATTTGTGATTTTGTGATTATTAGCACTTTCTTCATTACTTTTGATCGATAAAATAAACTGGTATACAAACATTTTATTTATATTTATTAAAAACTGTAGAGACTTTCTCCTTTCCGATACAACTTTTGTTTTCTCAATAATTGTTGCATTAAAAAATGACAGCGCAATTCAGCAAATTCCTGTGCAATACCCTATACAAATAAAAAAAGGAACTTTCTCTTTACTTCAAGAGTGGCGGCTGTGGTTTGTCCGCTGTGACGGGCAGGCTCAGGTCCAGGAATGGCTCGGTGCGTTGCGATGAGTGATGACAATCCAAACACTGTAAAGTAGACACCAATACGCCACGAAATATTGCTTCTGGTCCCAGTAGTCGCGTGCTAGCCTGATTGCCGTAGAATTTTATACGAGATTTCAAGCCCTTCTCCACGCAATCTGGTTTTGTTTTTTCACTCAGGCCTACTTCTTTCAGAATTATGATCTGATATCTCTACAATAGAATTTTAATTTGCAATGTATAAGATCTTTATTTATCTTTGTAGAATCTGTATCCTTACAAAAAATTAAGAATTACTTTCTTATAACATCCTAAGTAGCAAACAAACGTCATTAAGCATCAAAATACGCTTGCTACCTAGAATATTATAACATATTTATTAAATTAACTTAATCACAATTACTGTAAATATAGAATATTCTAAAAAGTAAAAGTCAATGCTAATTATAAAATAAAAAGAAATTTAGGGTTCTCTCGCTTACCCGAAGATCTTCATTTCGTACTATTTCCAGTAAATGTCGCAGTAACTCGTGCGAGTCGTGTTGCCCTCCGTCAACGCATTGTGTAGTTTTTTTTCTAAGCTTACAGAGAAGATTCAGAGGTGTATATGTCTGATAGCCATTAGTGTTCTGCATTTTGGATAAGGTTTCGCATAAAATTGATGTAAAACTTCCCCATCTCTCCAAAGTCCCCTCAATTGGTGGCTATAAGTCAAGTAAATAGAAAAAAAGCAATTACATCTCATGAAAATCCCTAAACGAAAGCAAAAGAAAGAGAAACCAGTAAACATATAAAATAAACTATTCTATCGAATAAATTTGTTAATTCTGATAATGTATTTCCTAGTTTTTTTTTAAGATAAAAAAAAGATAATTTCAAACACAAAAGTAAATATAAAAAAAAAAGCAATTACATCTCGCAAAAATCACTAAACAAAAGCAAGAGAAATAAAAAATAGTAAAAATATAAAATGAACTATTCTATCTAACAAATTTATTAATACTGATAATGTAGTTCCTTATTTCTTTTTAAGATAAAAAGAAGATAATTTCAAAAGCAAAACATACAAGTTCCATTTCTTCTTCAGCATCAAGAGGTTTATGTTTTCCACCTGGTAAGACAAATTTTTGACCAGGTAAACGTAGATCATCCAGCACCTTCATCAAATAAGGAGTCTGTGCTAGACACTGAAGCACAGCATTGAAGAAGCAGGTGTTTCCCAGATTTGCTAACCCCTATAGCACAATTTAAGAAAATTTTTTCATTATAAGTAGTAATAGTAGTAATTCATTATGAGTATTTTAAATATTTTTGTATGTCTTCTCTCTCTCTCTCTCTCTCTCTCTCTCTCTCTCTCTCTCTCTCTCTCTCTCTCTCTCTCTCTCTCTCTCTCTCTCCTCCCTCTCTCTCTCATTACTTATATATCATTATGTATATAAATGTATTGAATAATTCAGTTTTATTTATTGTTAAATATAAAACTTTCTGTTCTTAAATTAGCAGGAACTGGTGCAGGAACAGAAAAAAAGCCTATTATTATATAATTATATCGCTTTTCTTTTGACCGAGTGTATATTCTGTATATTTTCCACACATATTTTATGTATTAAAAAATGTCCCTTAAAGATTTTCCCCAAAAATACAAATTAAATGAAAACTAAATTATATTATTCACATACCCCAACTTTAGGAAAATTGTTTAACGTTTTGTGCTTCTCTTTTTCCTGAACATCAGTTATTATCTCTGTTTGGCACTGGATTACTGGTGTTTTTAATTGTTGCAGCGGTATTTGCGGTATGGAGACACATTTTTTGATAAATTCAAAAGTTTCCAACAGCTTTTTACTGAAAAAAGACAATACATGTTTATAAAAATATAAAAGTAAATATTTTTTATAATTAAGGCTGTGTACCAAAATGTCATTTGGATGCAATTCTCCCTATCTTTCTGATATACAGGGTGGGGAAAAAGTATGGAAACCCTGAAAAATCTCAAAAAATATAAATTTTACAGAAAAATGTTTTGTATAAAAGTTGTGGGGCTTAAAAAACCTACTTATTAATCTTATCAGTTAGACCTTGAATGGCATTGCCAAGGTCAGGGCAAGGTCATCTTGAATTTTTTTAAATAGAATCCCCATTTTTTATTACATACTGTTGAAGCTTATCTCGAAAGCTTTCCAAAACCTTATCATAAAGTGTTTTTTATGAAGTACTTTTCGAGTTATAAAGATTTGAAATTTACAATTTTTTGACATTTAATGTAAAATATATCTTGTAAAATATTCAGTTTTCAGTAATCATACCTTAATACTTTTATGCCTGGAATAATGAGACCAATCAATTGGTGTAAAAAAAAAACAGTTGCCTTTAAAAAAATATGTTTTAAATTACATACATCCTTTTTAAAGCAACTATGTTTTTTTTTACACCAATTAGTCTCATTATTCCGTACATAAAAGTATTAAGATATAATTATCAAAGACTAAATATTTTGCAAAATATATTACATTTTATGTCAAAAAACTATTAAATTGAAACTTTACAACTCAAAAAGTACTCAATGAAAAAATGTTTTATTATAGTGTTTTGGAAAGCTCTAAAAATAAGTTACAACACTATGTAATAATAAATGTAGGGTTCCATTTTAAAAATTTACGATGACCTTGCCTTGATCTTGGCAACAGCATTCAAGGTCAAACTAATAATGTCGGTAAATAGGTTTTTATAAGCCCTACAACTTTTATAAGAAACATTTTTCTGTAAAACTTATATTTTTCGAGATTTTTCAGTTTCCATACTTTTTCCCCACTCTGTATGTACACATATATTTACCTGCTACTAGGATAAAGTTCAATTTCACACTGATAGCACCAAACACTCCAATGATGAATGTCTGTCAGTATGCAATGACAGTCGCTGTGAGGTTTTTTGTAATGCTCCATAGCATGCTGTTTCTGTTCTTTGCCACAACTTTGTTCTCCGCATTGTAAGCAAATCCATAATGGCTTCAAGATGTACTGTAAATTTAATAATTTGAAATTAGACTTTAATATCACATATGAGATTGCAATCAAATAGTATATTGCTTACAGTCTCCTCTGTTTTTTTCAAGTCTGCTTCTAATTTCTTACAAACAGAGCATTCGCTCAATATTCCAGTCTTCTTTATGTTCTTCTTTACTTTGTTCAGATTGACAGCCTTTGCTATATGCAAACATTTTGTACCTGTTGATTATTAATAAATATTAAAATATCCATGCAAATTTCACTAAAAAGTTATTTTTTGAACTTCACAAACAGAAAGAAAGAGAGAACGACAAAAAAATGTTTCAACTTATTAAATATTGTTTTTAAATGCTGAACTTTTAAATACTAATATCCTAATATACTTAGATTTTAGAATTTCCAGATCGTAATTTTTTTAAGTGTAATTTACTTTTTTGAATATAAAACTCATTCTTCAAATTTTTTGATTTTATGTATCTTTTAAAAGTTTTCTAAGTCTGCAAGAGTCATTTTTCTAACCTAAGAATTTGAATGTGTACAGAATAAACAGGCAAGAATTCAGAAATTTAAAAATCCATGGCAGGAAAATTGGAAATTTGAAAATAAAAAAGGGGAAAAAAGGATTGGAAAATCCTTGGATCCAAAATATTGATTTATATATAATCAGGTTAGGTTAGGTTAAAACACAATGATCTATAAGAACCAAGGAATCCACAGATTTGCGTGCAAATAAATTGTGTATTTTCTTGAACCTGCACTCGCTTCCTCGCAAGACTCGGTGGAGGCTTCGCTGATATCAAGATTCGCATCTGGCTCCCTGTTCCGTTTCTTACTCATTTCTCGTCCTCGCGTACGCACGTGCGTACTCGCCGCGCCAACAACCCTCTTGCCCGATTCAGCCAAATTCTTGATTCTGACGTTTGCATGAAGAAAGAAAAAAAATGCAAAAACAAGAGGGAGGAGACGCTAAAGATAGAAGTCCCTAGAAGAACTTCTAGGGACCCTAGCTAGAGATATACTTGTATAGAGAAGCGTTGCGTTAACCAATCAAAATGTGTTTTACTTCGGCTTTTTCATTGATTCAGGGGATCGATTGTCTATTTGTGTCGATTTTTCTCACTTTTTACACATTTATTTCACGTGAAGAAATACACGCGATTGGCTATGAGCAAGATGAAAATACGATATCCCTAGATTCACAGGAGCACAAACCATAGTGAACATTTCGTAAAGCGTATATGCATGCATATATGTTTCAGTGATACCTTTATCTTTATAACCTCTGCAGTTTGAACGGTGTGAATAAGAATGAATGTTACAGAGAAACAAAAAGAAATTATGTTAAATTTTATGAATAAACATTCGGATTTCGGTCGGGGGCGGATACATTTTTGAACATGCTTGAATAAAATTGACGCGGCGTATTATGAGAATTGATCGATATAAAACAATACATTAATAAAAAAGTAGTGTTTAAAAATCTTTTATTATAAAGTTAAGAAATGTACTGTGATAATCTTAATTATTAATTTATTATAAGATTATGAAATGTACTAATTTTATGTGATACAATTTATGTGATAAATATATATATATATATATATATATATATATATATATATATCCTATTCAAAATACCATCACACAATATTTCTTAATTCGTACTTCTTCTGCTTGCATTATATTTATATCATTAAATGGTATCGGCACTTCTCCTTCTTCCTCCAAATATATTTCATTTAATGGAATTCTCCATTTATAAGCAATGTTATGTAAAACACAACATGCATTTACAATTAGAGCTGTAAAGAATAGATTTAAAAAATACCTTTTCTTATCTCAATTATGCACTATAATTATTTACATACCAGCAAATTCTGGTGTATAATGTAATGTCCTCTCTTTTAATACGTATTTTAATCGCGCTCTACTCTACATAACATATAATGCAGTAGGATATACGACACATTTTGACATTATTCGACACAATAATTCTTGTCGAATAATCTCACGTGAAATATTTCGTGTTTTCACTATAGTGAAAATTAGCCAATCAAGGGAATGCTCACTTTTGTCATTTTCACTAGGTTTTGAGATAATCGACCCCCAGCTTGCAAGTCCCTCAAAATGGCGTAATCAATCATATGCGCGCATTATCTATAATCTAAAGTCAAAGAATAGAAACGAATATAGAATGTCACGTCCTAGTGGCCTTCCTATTCTCTCTATTCCTAGGCTAGAAAAATGGAGCGCTCTCTACTTTTTATGAGGCAATCTGCTTACACCGGCTATACCTCAGGAACGCCGAGAGCACGGACTATACTGTGGAACTAGGGACCGAGTATTGGGACGTTGGGGATGGGAAATTATAGTTACTAGTGAAAAAAGAATTTCTACTAGCAATTCTTTCTAAACTATCTAATGAATTTATCAATTGATTGACTGTAATTTCCCCATTTAAATAGTTGTTAATTATAAATTTAATAGCGAAAATATAATATAACTCTCAAATTTAAGGGTCGACAGGTCGGTCGGCCAAACTTCGAATTGATGTTGAAGACCTCGCGCGGTGACAACGCGAAACTCCGATTTCAGTGTTGCCAACACCGAGAAACCAATTCTTGGGTTTTATGTAGTGGTGCATGTCTGTACACGTACATACACCATTGCATTGCTCACGCGGACGCACCGTAGAGAGACAAGGACCGATAATCACGTGTTCTCCTTGTTCCTCTACCGTGCCGGTATACGCGAGATGCGGCCTGAAAATGCTTTCTGACCTTCCGTAGCAGAAGGCAGTAGCGTAGCAACAGGGTTGGAAAAGTTACTTTGTAAAAGTAACTAGTTACAGTTACAGTTATTTCATTGAAAAAGTAACTAGTTACAGTTACAAGTTACCGATTTTAAAAAATAACTCGTTACAGTTACAGTTACTCTAAAAGTAACAAGTCGTTACTTTTTAAAAATAATTATACATTGTTTTAAATATAAGGAGATTACATTTTATGCACAATTACAGTCAAGTATATTTAAAAAAATTCTTGAATATAATATTGATCGATTTGCTTGCGACTTTGCAATTAACATCAATGTATGAATGACCTTTATATACAACAGGAAAAATAGTTATAGTAAGTTACTAAATGGTAATCGCAAAGTCGCAAGCAAATCGATCAATTATTACCTTTAAGAATTTTTTAAATATTTGACTGTGATTGGTCGATCTTAATTATGTGTTATATTATTTTATGTACACAAAATGAAAATTTTAGGTAAAAGATTAAATCATATGAAGATCCATATGCTACTGTTATCAAAATTTAATTTAATAATATAACGGCTACCATACTTAACAATACTTTTAGCGCATGTTTCCAAAAAAGTAACTAATAAAGTAACTATTAAAATAGTTACTAGTTACTAAAAAAATGTAACTAACAAGGGACATGTCACAACTGTCCGGAACCGATTTGATTCTCCTTGAAATATGTTGTTAAATACACAAATCTAAAAGACACGTATTTTTTTATACGTGCGCAATTTGAGTTTTAAGGGGTGAAACACCCCTTTAAAGAATAACGGTATTTTTCTTTAGGATCAAATATCTGCTAAACTATAAGAGATATAAAGAAAAAACGTACAACAAATTTTAATGGCTTGAAGAGTACTTTAAAGTTATATGAACAAAAATTTTTTTTTTTTTTTTTTTTTTTAAAAAACCCTCACCACCTAATTTTTTTTTCAAAATTAAAAATTTTGTTTTACCTAATTTAAAGCTTATTTTTTTCCAAATTCAACCATGTGTAATAAAGTTATGTTACGAAATATCATTTTCGAAAATTAATTATAAACGCTCCCGTATATACGCTCATCCGTGCTATGTGCGTAAGTAATTACCGTCGAACAATAAAATATATAAAAAATGTTTTTGTATAATTCTTATTTATGTTTTCTATGTATTTATAACTGCGTATTGTGTATATTTAGATTTAAAAAAAATTTTTAAATATAATTAATAAGAATTTTTAAATATACCCCCTGCTTTCTTATTATTTCTTTAATATTTAATTTCTTCTATAAAAATTAAAAACAATTATATTTTATAATAAAATTATTTTTTAATTGAATCTTGCGAATACCAATGTCGCAATATTTGGCATAAACAAATTTTATATCTTACGTTAAATGAATCATAAGATAAGATTATGTGTACGTGTTCCAGATAAGTTATAATTTTTACAATAAAATCTTTAATACGTTAAAATAAATAATAAAATAAGATTATGTGATGACGTATTTCTGATAAGTTAATATAAATTGTTCATGTAGCAGCATAATTCTCACAGTCGGTGTAGTCTTTTCGTTGTAATAATATCTGTGTAAACTGTTCTTTTATTGCAATAGAAAGCAAAATATAACATCTTTGAATATGATTATCAATCCGCTTAACGTTGTTAGACTTTTATTGGTGTCAATAAATTCAATATATTTAACAGAAACGCCAGTAACTGAAGCAGAAGTGGAATTAAAGGAAAACATTAAAAAAATATTACTGGATAGCGTTTTTCATTATAATGGGGTGGAAGTAACGGAAGAAATATATCTCGATTATGAAGAACCTTATAAATTACATAGTTTTGAAATAATTGAAGATGACGAAGAAGCATGGCATGAAGATAGTTTAAATTCTCATCCTCATTGTTCAAATGATGATACAAATTTTGATAGTTCTTATAAAAGACGAGCTGTTGAGTATTGGCGATTTCGGGACACTGATGAAAACAGTAATGACAGAAAAAGGAATCGTCCTCTAAGAGTAGTACAAAATAAATTTAGAAGAGTTTCATCTGAACGTCAGTTAAGGCGATGGGAAGAACAAATACAATCAGGTGGAAGTCGTACAGAAAAATTATCTTACATCTCCAAATTTACACATGATAAATTTACTGCAGCTGTCGAATCAGGATTCATGGTTCATGATATTGATTTAAAAAGATGGGCTTTACAAGCTCAAGAAGAAATAGGAAATTTAAATCCTATATTTAAAGCATCTCACAGTTGGATAGCAAGATTTAAGAAGTCTCACCGAATTGTTTCAAGAAAAGTTACGAAGTTTGTCACTAGAAGAACATTAGAAGATTCTGCTGATTTGCAAAAATCAGCTGATGATTTTCTGGAAACAGTAAAACCTCTTATTGAACAGTTTGGATCTGAAAATATTTACAATTCAGATCAAAGTGGTTTCCAATTGGAACTTCACTCTGGAAGATCATTGTCTAACCAGGGAGAAAAGAAAGTAGAACGTGTCGTGCAATCCATATCATCAACAACCCATTCATATACGATACAACCAATAATATCCTGTAATGGCAATTTGTTGTCCCCTTTATTTATTGTATTAAAAGAAGCTAATGGTAAATTTGGACCAAGAGTACAAGAAAATTTATTTAAAGCAGAAAATGTTATTGTAAAAGCATCGAAATCTGGTAAAATGACATCAGGTATTTTCCTTTTATAATTACTTTTTTTAACAACCTTATTTTATTTAACAATTTAATAAGAGTCATAAAAAAACTATTAAATTAACATTTATATTTTGTACAGATCATTTTAAAATGTGGTTAGAAGAAGCTTATTTCGCAAACATTGGTCCTAATAGCGTTCTTCTTATCGATTCATGGACTGGACATTGCCCCAATATGATTTCGGATTTAACACCTCCTGGAACACATATTACTACTATGATAATACCGAAAGGAACTACAGGGAAAATACAACCATTAGATGTTTATGGATTCAGAATTTGGAAAAATTTTGCTAAAAGATTTTCAGATGCGGTTTTACTGTTGGAAAGTAATATAAACTTACATGAACGAAATAATATAATAAAATTGCAATCTTTGATACATAATCAATTGTCATCCCCACGATATCAAA